TGGACTCTGTGAGCTCTATCAGCTGACAAAGGTCCTCTTTCAGCTTGAGCAGGTCTGCTGGGAGGGGTGCAGGCCAGCAGACAGGGCTGTCTCCACCTGCTGCAACTGGGCACCATAGGTAGTGATGGCTGCCTCAAGAGTTTGTTCATCCATACTGACACTTGGCACAGGGCAGGACAGGAAAGGACCACATCAAGCCCCCACGACACTGAGGAGAAGAAGATGGTTGATTAAAAAACAGATCTCAGTAGAATGGCAATTTCAGCAACAAGACGATAGTGATTTACATAAAACATAAAATGCATTAAGACACTGTAAAATAAAAAAAATACATTAGGAGTTAAATATAAAAAAAAATAAGGGGAGGTTCTGGGGGATTGTTCTAGATATGTGGTAAAAACTGAATGCTTCCTCTCCATGTTTAGATTTGACTCTGGGGACAGTAAACAGACCTGTCTCAGATGACCTGAGATGTTTAGATGGTTCAAAACATAGCAGAAGATCAGAAATGTATTTTGGCCCTAAACCAGTGTTTTATAAACTAACAGCACTATTTTAAAATCAATTATTTGCCAGACAGGAAGCCAGTGTAAAGACCTCAGAACTGGAGTGATGTGATCTACTTGTGTGCTCTTAGTGATGACTCGAGCAGCAACGTACTGAATCAGAACGATTTTTTTGGGAGACCTGTAAAAACAGAGTAATAGTCGAGTTGACTGAAGGTAAATACATAGACAAGTTTTTCCGAATCCTGCTGTGACACAAGTCCTTGATGTATTCTTCAGGTGATAGAATGCTGTAGAAGTGCAGGTCTTTTAAGCCTAACTTTTAATTGTTCTTCCTTGGTTCCAAAAACAAGGACTAAAGTGTTATTTTTGTTTAGTTGAAGAACACTTCTGGCACATCCAATGGGTGATTTGGTCAATTCTCTTGCATGGCATGATAGTGCTGGTGATCTAGTTATGTGTAAATGTGTGTGTCATCTGCATAATTATGGTAACATGTTTTGCTGCGAGTAAATGGACTGACTTCCTTATGCACTCCTGCAAAGCATGCTCTTCTTTCTCATCAGATACTTTTTCTCACCAATATTGTTTGTCTTGTCCTTATTGATTCATAGTGGAGAGGCCATCTATTTATTAGACTCATTAACTTGCCAGATACTGAGTGAGTTTGGAAGGACACCGCAGAAGGAAAGGTGACCAAGGTGATCAAACGTTTAACTGTAATAAAAAGTACTTCGTCCACTGACTGCATGTTATCGAAAGGCTTTTTCGAAAAGCTCTGGCAGAGTTTCAGTTAACGTGGCCCAAAGATTTAACCCGGCTATAGCGTTACCTTATACCAGAGCTAGTTTTAGCTAACATGTTAGCCGTGTTTAAGCTAACCTTTACTGCTAATTGTAACGTTAGACATTGCATTACCTTCGTGATTAGGCTAGCAGTCTGACATCCATTACATCGACGGAAAAAGCCATGAAAATATGTAATGTTAGTATGTTAATAAAATGCGTAATTAAAATAGCTAAATTTATATACTGGAACAGTCTCTGGTTTCCAAATTCATTATCAAGGTGGACTTCCGATATGGGTTGCATCTTCTTGCAAAATAAAACAAATGTCTTCAGACACTGAATGAAATGCAGCTTGCTAGAGTTAAGAGTTGTTTGAACTTTTACCAGAGCATTCATTTTCATGAGACTATAAGTCACTCTTTTTTGAAAGAAAGAAATCTCGATTTTATATAATAAAACAATTTAAACGATTGAGATTTAGTTAAACAACTACTAACTTATACATTCTATTCAGTTCGATAATGCCTTAATGGCATGACAAGAGTGACACATTTCTACGATGAAAGCATTGTTTATGAAATATTTCTAGGGGGTTTTCTTTTTCCAGTAAAACTTTGTGCTCTTTTTATTTTGAAGCTAAAGCGCCAAAACCGGAAGTGGGTTTTTTTGCCCTACGTCAAACATGTGCGACATCGACGCAGAATCACGACAGTTGCCTTTAGTTAGGGTGTGTAACATTACCAGTGTTCTGTTGTAATTATTCTATTTTGATATTTACCTGTTGTACGTGCTCATTGCTCTGCGCAGTGGGTCCACTTAACACTACTAATGTGAAGGTAGGCTACCTGTTTGTTGGCGCTCGTAACTTACCGCAGTGCAGCTTCAGCAGCACGTTGGATAACTTAATTAACGTTCCAGAGCGGTCGGAACTGGGAAATGTCCAAGTTGAAATATCCGACTCTCAAACTCAGAGCGTTTCAGGTGCATGGTGGTGTATGACACCAAGTGTGAACAATAAACATGGCTGACCGTGACAAACTTGTGTTTCTCTGGCGAGTTTATCCACAGTTAAACCCTCAGCAGTGCACTTGGTGTTAATTAAAAGGATGGCCATTTTATAAAAAAAAAAAAAGAAGATAAATATACGTTACTCGTTAACGTATCTTCTAGCTACATCAGTTGGTAATCCTCAAAAGTCAGCAAAAGTTGTAGGCTATATTTCCAAATGTTTTCACATTTCTGGGAATTTTTAACATTTTCCTGAATAACTTTTGGGTAACGTTAGTGAACATTTTTTCCTTTAGCCAGCTACCTAATAACATTGACAAAATATTTCTTCATCAATTTATATGCAGAAGAAGTTTTACTATTTGATACTAGTATGTATTATTTTAATTTAATACTTTACGTTTATGATTTAGCATTTCTTGTGTGACGTCATTCGGCTGCTACTGGGGGTACAATTTTTTTTTCTCCGAGTTCACAAGTAGGAAATCCCACTTCAAGTGGCGTTACAAAGTACTTTTTCTTGTTGGAGGTCAGAAATTTTCCAGTTCCCAGTTGCCTGGAATGCAGAACATTGTTGCTATAACTACTACTACTATAGTACTATATACTTTATGTTATATATCTGTTACTTAACAAAGTGACCAATTGTATATTGTAGTAATAATAATAAGTCATCAAAACAGCATTGCATAGTGTAGCTAACTTAATACTTGTTGGCACAACAAACCTAAAAACAGAATGTCACGGCAGAGTCTCAGGCAATGCAGAATATCATCGTGAGCACAACCACCATTACCACCGATAATGCTGACATGCAGTTTGCTAAATTTTGAAGGCAGCAGGGATTTTAAATATCACCTCTAAAAGTTACCAGTCAACATGTGACCATTACAGATTAAATTACAAAGATAAAAAGTAAATTGTTTTTAAATGATCTAAGAATGTGTTAACTTCAATTTCTTCCTACGGTACTTTAAAACTAATTAGTTTTCTTTGTCTTATTCCTGCATCTACCATTTCTCTTTCTGTACCCCCTCATAAAGTTGACCATGGCTGAGATCAGTGATCCTAAGATTGCATTTGCCTATCTACGCCCGACCTGTGTCCTGCTAACCCGAGAGCCCACTGTGACCAATGTGGAGTTACTGAGTGCCCAGTTGAAAGAAGTCAATGATGCCACGTTGCAGCAGCTCCAAGAGTATGTCCTCTTTCCTCTTCGCTTTGTCCTTAAAGTCCCCGGGCCTAAGAAGGACAAACTGGTGCAGGCTGTGGCTGAAGCCATCAGCTACGTGCTGGAGAACACTTGTGTCCAGAGATGGGACACCCTGCATGACCTTCTTTCAGAGCTTTGCCTCTGCCTGTGCTGTCCAACCGATCCTGGGAAGCCTGCAGATACATCTGAGGAGCTTAAAACAGCAGTGCTGAGGTGCCTGGACGCACTGCTTCATGCTGCTTACGGTGATATAGTCTTTAAACTCTTTGAACCCGTTATGCTGGCCGGACTGGGAGCTGCCATATCACTGCTGCTGGCTATAGGAGAGAAGGAGAAATCTCGAGATATACAGGCAGCAGCGTTAAAGTGCCTCCAGACTTTGACTCTGCAATGTGATTGCACTCAGGAGCACATAGTCCCATCCTCAGAGGAGAGATGCATTATAGGCAGCACCATGGCTTCCTTCTTACCTGGTATCACTGTGGCTGTAGCCAGGATCATTACAGGAGATCTGAGACAAGGCCATGCAGTCACAGTCAGGGCCATCAAGGTACCATATCTCTGTTCATTTGTGTTTCTTGGTGTAATGATGCAGTACAGTACAGTCATGCTTAAATTTTGTGTGTCCATGAGGTTTAAAATATTCAATTTGCAATAATAATCATTTGTACTTCTTATTATATGCATATTATAGGCATATGTTTACAGTTAAAGTTTAATTTGTGTGACCAAATGAAAAATGCCTGATTTTAACTGCCAGGTCACTGAAAAATGCAGAACAAGAATAAAGTCCATTATGCCAAGCCAAATTTACAGAGTATACAGATCCATCTGTAGACTTGTACTGACTTCTACATGCCACCAAAACTCTATTGTGGTAGAAAACATGTCATGGACCAAAGTAAAATTAAGTGATTATCTCTTTTCACTTACATTGTCATTTAGGTTTGGTCCAGGACTGTGGGGCTTGTCATGGAAGATGCCCAGCTTCAAGCCAGTGAGCCCTGTAAGACTCCCTCACCAGACCTGGGGAGAATAGGACAACTTTTGGTCCATCGGACAGAATCCTGGGTGAAGAGCACAGCAGGGAAACTATTTGTGCTCCTAAGAAAGATCGTCTCCTGCACCTCAGCTCACCAGCACTGGACGGTTAGACTAGAGATGGTGGAGCTGGATGACCATCTGCTGGCCAGATGTAGCCAGTCACTGGGAGAGTGTGTGGGGCTGCTTCTGGAAGCACTGGTGGGAGCAATCAATGATGAGGAGCCCAGAGTCAGAAAGAGGTTTGATTTAATTTACATTTTTGTGAGGGAAAAGATTCAATCCCAGACTTCCTGATAACAAGATGCCTAATGAAACCTCTCTTCTGTTCTCTCCTATAGGTGTGAGGTCGCTCTCAGAGCGGTATCACAGAGGAATCAGAGCTGTAGCCGCAGCTGTGATACCAGTAAAAGCAGCAGCAGTGCTCAGACCTTTACTGATGTGCTTTCAGAGAATCTCCACGTTTTGGCTACCTCCCTGCCCAGACTGATGAGGACTACTGATGACCAGAAGAAGCTCTTTGTCCTTAATGTGTTTCTGGGTTATTTAAAAGTCCTGGGACCGCTTGTCTCTGTCGTGCTAAACTCAGCTGCACATCTTGAGAGGATTTCAAAAGCCTTAATGCAGGTAATGATAGCTGCCGTTTTATCAGCTTATACTTCATATTCTTAAAGATCTAGTGATTTTACATTTAATGTTTTTATATCTGTTATCTGAAAATAAGGCACTTCATTAAGTGACTTATTTAACAAATTCAAATGCAGGTGAAGTTTTATCGGGTATGCCAATAATTTTTGATGAAGGCAGCAGATGTGTGAATACAATTTAAAGCTGTATCTTAGTAATTCACTTACATAGCCTACTCATTTCAGGCTCTTTGTAATATATAAGGTAGGAACTAGATTTATTTGTCATTTTACAACACAGGGTTGTATACTGACATGAAGTTGTTTCTTTATGCTACTCACAGCTTGCCAGAAAGTAGCAGAGTGAACAGGCTGTGGCTGGGTGGGTACTGTCCTTTAGTATCCTTTGGGCTCTGCGTAGGCACCTCACCTCACTGATATCACTGATGGTCAGGAGATGGGTACCAATGATCTTCTGCAGTTTTAATCACCCGCTGCAGAGCCCTCCGGTCCTGGGCCGTGCACATCCCATGTTAGTGATGTTTCCAGTCAGGATGCTTTCTATTGCTCCTCTGTAAAAGTTAATAATAACTTGGCGTGGGAATTTGGCCTTCTTAAGTTTCCTCAAGAAATCCAGTCGTTTCTGAGCTTTCTTCACCAGCGTGGAGATGTGAGACAACCATATAAGATTCTCTCTGATGCTTATTCCCGGGAACCTGAAACTGATAATCTGCTCCACCTCAGCTCCACTGATGTGGACAGGAGTGTGTGTCTTTTCCTCCTTTTTCCTAAAATCAAATCCATCAGATCCTTAGTTTTGCTGACGTTGAGTAGTAAGTTGTTATCTGTGCACTACTCTTCAAGATTGTCGATTTCCTCCTGATATGAAGTCTCATTTTTGTGGTGATGATGGTGGTCCTCTCCACAAACTTTACAACAGAGTTCTCTGTATGTCGGGGAATGCAGTCAGGTGATGTAGTACACAGCCCTGGGGGGCTCCGGTGTTTAACACTGAGCGGAGGAGGTAAAAGAAAATCGCAGACAGTGTGTTTACTTTATAGGGACAGATGTTACATAGAGACTTGTACAACAATTTTCCATCACAGCAGTTATAGCTACCGCTATTTTCCAATGCCCATCCCATTTGAATGCCTAAATTAACTGGCGTAGTCCATAATAATGCGTTGATTTGATGTGTTCTCATGGCACTTATGAAAATATTTGCCTTGTTCTTTCATTACATTTATTCATTTAGCTGACGCTTTTGTCCAAAGCGACTTACAATTGCTATACATGTCAGAGGTCACACGCCTCTGGAGCAACTAGGGGTTAAGTGTCTTGCTCAGGGACACAATGGTGGATGGGTCACAGTAGGGGGATTGAACCCGGGTCTCTCACACCAAAGGCATGTGTCTTATCCACTGTTCCATCACCACCCCATAGCTCAGCTGTGTGTCCGTGTTCCACAGTAAATGACTCGGGCACTGAATAAGTGGTAGTTCCACCTCACTTTTAAGAACTTCTCATCACTTCAAAAATGAGATTGTGTGCAAAAAACCCCATCATTTAAGATCATTTACAGCGCACACAAAATGAACCAGATTTAGAATCATAAACACAAACGGAGATATCCGTTTCTGCAAAAGAACGCCTCAAATATGTTGTACAGTGTAATCAGGAATCATATTAATTAATAGGCTACTTGTATGCAGTGCAATTTATTCTAATAAATAAGGTGAACAGGAGGAGAAATTACATTTAAATTCAATCAATGTGTCAGTCGAGCAAATACGAGTGCATAGTTTCATGTAGCCTGTTGTTATCACATGTTCGTTGGCTTATCATGCCAAACGCTGTGCGCCAGCGTGTGGATGTGATGCGCTGCATGTAAAAGTTTATATCATATAGCCTGCAACAAGTTAGATTTCTTTAACTCATCGGCAGGCTCGTTAAGTGAGTGGACTGTTTGTGTAGCCTAAATACATGTTTAAACACAGGTGGAATGCATTTGGTTTACTCTCTTTTCAAACGGGGGAATCCAGATTAGTACCCGGGTCATCCCATCTTGTGTGTGTGGTTCCCCTCCAGCCAGTGACGTCACTACTCAAGAGAAATGCCCGTTCCTGCAGATCGGTTATAAAGGGGTGGGGTCTTTTCCACCAACCAACATGCTTCAGCTTCACCAAAAGGAAATTAAAGTTAAATTTGTTGTAAAATTTTTAAATTTTAAATTTTTCAGCTCAGGATCCAGGATGACTGGGGTGTTCTTTTTGTGCTGGAGATCCAATTTCTCACAGCGCTTCATCAGAATGGGGGAGTGCCACCGGGCAGTAGTCATTCAGACTATTAACTAGACACGTTACAGACATTGTAGTCTTTACACTGGTCCCTTTATTTTTGGAGAACAGCATTTGGATTATGTGGACTTGCCTTTAAAGGATATTTTCTTTTGTTGGGATTGGTTTTTCATTGTACTTACAATATAGAATCAGAATCAACTTTATTGCCAGGTACGTTTACATGCACATGCAAGGAATTTGCTTTGGTATTTTGGTGCATAACAATAAACAGGTAGACAATATAACAAAGATAAAGCACTGCAGGTCAAGAATCATAAAGATAAAATATAAAATTGACAATAAGATATAAAAAATGTAAAAGAATAAAGAATATGTAACATGGCAGTTATTTAAATTGCAGTGGGATTTACATGTGCTAAAATTTACAGTATGAGTATACTGTACTGTAAAGGAGGGGTTATGGGGCGGCTGCAGATGGAAAGAAACTGTCCTGAGCGACCGCAGCCTCCTGCTAGAGGGGACTGTCTGAAACAGTTTGTCTCTGGTTTGGAAGGGTTCAACTACAATCTTTCCTGCCTTCCTCAGAGTCCTGGAAGCGTGCAGGATGGAGTGAATGATACGCTGCAGCCTGCCCTTGTCCTTGGCAGTGGCAGCAGCATACCAGATGGTTATGAGGATGAACTCAGTGAGGCAGTGTAGTGCATCATTATTGTCTTTGGCAGATTGAATTTCTTCAGCTGCCACAGGAAGTACATCCTCTGCTGGGCTTTGTTAGTTTCTAGGAGCTGATACTCAGCTTCCACTTGAGGTCCTGGGTGATGATAGTGCACAGGAAGCAGAAGGACTCCACAGTGTATACACAGTTTCTAAATTTCAGAGTAAAGCCAGAGTAAAGCCATCCTTATATGAAATCACGTGCAGTTTAGCCCTTCCTTGTCCGTCTCCAACTCATCTGTTAATTTTCAGTAGAAACTGTATATGATCACTCAAAACAACAAGTTTGATGTACACAAAAGCATCTGTGGTCATTTTACAGCAGTCTGATGCTGGTTGTACAAAATTTAAACAGGGGAACTGCCGTGTGCAGTTGTGGCTTGAGATTGAGACACCTGCTGCCTTGAGAAAGCTGTAGAGAGTCACTAGTGTAAAGGAAAAGCCTACAATATAGACTACTAACTAACTTTCTTAGATGAAAGAGCTGCCAATCACTTATTAATCTTTATTCTTTACTCACAGGCATTAATGATATAAAACTCTTTTACAGTGTGACCATGTCAGCTGTTTGAAAAACAAACAATAAAAGTGGAATGACGAACAATTAATTAATAAAGTGTTTTATATAACTTCATAGAGGTTAATGGGTGTGAAAAATACTGTGGAACACACAGGAGCTGTTGACCAGTGCACGGCTGGATTGGCATCATCACAAACCTCTAACTCAGTGATTCACCAAGATACCAAACCTGCGCAGGCAAGGAAGTAACCACAGTGCACACTAGCAGACACCAAAATAGAGCCCAGTGATTCTGTTTCAACAAAATAAGGAAATGCGGGATTTACAGGATAAAATCTACAAGGCAGTGTAAATAAACTGTGTCAAATCTAAATAAATGCGGCTGTAGATATAACATCTGAATAGCCTGACTCTCTCTACTGGACACTGTGTCCCTTTTTTCTATAGAGTCTATTTTTTCAGTTGGTTTTGGGGTATTTTTAGTGAAGAAATGGGCTATTTTGCAATGGGCAGTTATATATAGTAGCTCCTCTAAACTTTTAGCTGAGGTGCAGGCAGGCAGTCTTGTGAAGATACTGGGGTAGAAAACCAGATATTCTAGCCAGTTTATCCTTATAACGTACCAAATCTTTCATACATGAACCACAACAGAATAATAAACAAATGGGGAGAGTAGGTAGAAAACAATCCCACATCAAGATCGAATTTATTGCCTTGTTACTGCCAGTTGTGAAACAGCAACTTTTCTTGTATGTTAGTTTAGGTTACTTGCAATACATTTTTATATGTACTGTTTATTTTAGTATTGGAGACACTCAAAATGTAGCACCTGAACCAAACATACTTCAGTATTACTAAAAAACTACAGCACTGTTTAAATGATAATTAACAAATCATCTAATTATTAGATTACAACAACATATAGTATTTTGTATGGTTGACAAGCTGAGTTAAGTGGTATTTTAAGCGGTAATTGTTTCTTGCTTGTGACACAACCAAAAAGTCAAAATAAATGGTTGGGAGGGAAAAAACAAAAACACCTTTGTATGTCTCAACAGGTGCTGGAGCTGGATGTGATGGATGTTCGCATTGTAGAGGAAAGGAGTTACGCTGCTTCCATAGAGACAAGCTCAGGCTCTCATGATTCGTACACTGCCCACATTCAGAGGAAGCATTTTCTCTACTTCACAGATGAGAAGATCTTCTCTGTGCTCATGGAGATCTGTCGAACATTAGGTAGGTATAAGGGCTGTTTGATACAGACCTAATGGAAAGACTGCGTCAAAGTACAGTACATTTCTTTCTTTCTTTCACTCTTCATACATAACGGTCCTCTATGTCTACGTTGATTCTTTTAAAAGTTGAACTTTCATTCGATACTATTACATAATGTAATAAAGCTAGCTATATTTTGCTACAATATGTTTACATTTGCCTTTTTTTTGACCGCTCTCCTCCCAAAAGTATAAAAGAACATTCCCTCTTTCTATCTTTAGGTTACTATGGCAACATGTACTTGCTGACAGATCACTTTCTGGATCTGTACCAAATGTCTTCTGCATACAGAAAGCAGGCTGCCATGGTGCTAAATGAGATTGTCAGGGGTTCTGCGGGCATAGCCGTGGCAACAGAGACTCATGGTTTGGAGAGTCAAGTCTGGAGACACTCTGCCACCCAGGAGGACCTCAAGATGGCAGTGGTGTCTATCATGGAGGAATACACCAGTCTGAAGAACTGGCACTTGATTACTGTTGGTGAGGAGATGGATAGAGACCGGGAGGACCAGCAGGTGAGAATAGTTCAGCCCTGCTGCTTTCTTACGTTTTAATGTGATAATGGATTGTCTTACGTGCTGTGAATATTACCTCATCACCAGCTCAATTCGGTGATCACTCCCAGATAGTTTGCTGATCATCACTTTTAATACATGATGTCACTCTTCATGGAATGATATTCTGAATGAAGACGTGATAATTTGTTATTTGATTTCACGATTTAGCTTCTCATTTTGTACTCTGTAAATAGTTTCTAACCAAGTGTGATATTAGTCTCCCACAATCAGCCCATAGTGCACAATTCCTTCTGTGTTTAATTTGATCATGGTCACTTCACTCCAAAGCACATCAGGCTTTATTGAGAGAGATCCATACTTTGTTCACAGTATGAATGGAATTATCGATGTGTGCTCCTTTGCCTCAACACACTGAGCAAAGGGAGAAACTGCTTCAGGGTTACAAGTAACTGCTCTAATCTTTCAAGGCTGGATTATTGAGCTGACAGGCAGAGAAAATATCTCAGGTCCTCCAACCAACAGAGGCCGGGAAACATTGCCAACACTGATTTAGTTTGTAGATAAACTTGCAGTTTCTCTTTGTCAGCTTAAATGTTTGCCCATGGAGGCGGCACACAACCAAATTAAATTGATTCTAAGCACAGAAATATACTACACTGTAGAGCTCACTCAAGTCAAATTAGTTCCATTCATAAATGGAATATGGAATACATTTGAACATGATGGAAACTACAGGCAGTTGGCTGTAAATGCTGACATCAGTGTTGATGATCATTTTATGGAAAAAGTTAAAGGCCCCTTCCACACTACTCCGTTTTTGTTTAAAAACAGAGTTTTAAAATGAATACGATCTCAGTAACTTACAAGTGTAGGCTGTAAGTTATTTGTACGGTACAAAATATTTTAATAAAAATAGCCTCAGTAGCAATGTGTGTCTGCTTTGCATGATTTATAAGACCCAATCAGAGAGCCAAATGTGAGCGTCTGCTCATCATTTTTAAAGTCCCCCATTTTTGAGTTCTAAAACAAAAAATGGGGTCGGCAGCATTTCCAAACTTCTCCGTTTTAGATCTTCATTTTCGCAGTTTTAGTCTGGACGGGAGGTGGAAACAGAGCAAAAGGTCTCCGTTTTAAAACAAAGAGGTAGTAATGTGGATGGGGCCTAAGACAGAGCCACTGGTTTTAAGTTTGTACTGATACAGCAGGGTAACAGCTATTATAGCTGATGGGCTTGACCATCAGGTGGTCTAAAATGTTTTCATAATGGACGTATGGTTAATGTTGGAATGTGGTGATATTTCTTTGTTTGGGCCACCTGATTTAAGGTCAAATTTAAGGTACTCTGGAGTTTTTACATTCGCTGTTTCTCATCAAAACACATCATGTGTATCTTTCAAACCTAATTAACATTTTCAGCATAAGAATTTCCATTCCTCTTAAAACATTTGCAGAGATGATTTTTGTATGAATTTGCAACCACAGTCTATGTGATTTCTGGTTCCTTCTCCTCTTCTCTTTAACTTTGTTGTTTTTGTGCTCAGAATAGTATTACCTTGTGAATTCAGGTTTAAACACACCTGTCTGCTCATGCTTTTAAATGTAAACATGTCATCTTTATAATGACCTTTTTATGTCTATTAAATAAAACACACTGAATTGTAGAAGACAACTGTAAAACTGGATGATATATGATAATGGGATTTGTCATTTGTCTCTCTGTAGCTGCTCAGCCCATCCAGACTCGTCTCCATATCCAACAGCAATGCCAGCAACACTAATGCAAACTCACTCCAAGTGATTCCTTCCACATTTGCCTCCCCGTCTCCCTCATCGTCCACCTCTACAATCCACCATCTCAACAGCAACATCTGGCAACTGTGTATCCAACTTGAGGGCATCGCCTGCTTTGCTCAGGCCTTGGGACGTGACTTCCGTCCCTTGTTGATGACATCACTGTACCCTGTACTGGAGAAAGCTGGGGAGGAGACATTGCTCGTCAGCCAGGCAGCGCTGGGCACCATGTGGGACGTCAGCAAGGCCTGTGGCTACCACTCTTTAAAGGAGCTGATCAATGAGAACTCGGACTACCTGCTCAATGACATATCACTTAACCTGCAGAGGCTCAGCCAGCATCCACAGGTAAAACTGATGCGGTTCAACATGTTAGAATGCACAGTAATGTACCGTAGCACTAGAAACAGAGAAGAATAAGAACTAAGGAAACAAAGACAACATTTAAAAAAATTTTATAACCATTTTACAGTAGAAATATGTTTAAAAAAAAAATTTGTGGGCGGCTGTGGCTCAAGAGGTAGAGCGGGTTGGCCGTTAATCGGAAGGTCTGCGGTTCAATCCCTGGCTCCCCCTGGTTGCGTGTCGAAGTGGGCAAGATACTGAACCCCGAATTGCCCCTGGCGGCTATTCCGCCCGTGTATGAATGAGTGTGAATGTTAATTTCCGTTTGAGCACTTAGGCTCAGTGTATGAATGTGTATGACTGGTGAATGCAGATGTAGTGTAAAAGCGCTTTGAGTGGTCGAAAAGACTAGAAAGGTGCTATACAAGTACGGAGCATTTACATTTACATTTAAATATGGTTTCACAGATGAAAAGAGTGGCAACTAAAAATAAGTTTCATCATCAATTTATCTATAGTTATGTTAAAGTTTAATTTTAATTTTATTGTATAATTGGTTAATCATTTACTTTAGAAAATAGTGAATCGCCATCATAAGTTATCAGAGCCCAAGCCCATTTGCTTGTTTTGTCAAAACAGAAAAAGCCACAGATCTTTATGTTTGCCAGTGATTTTTTCAGAATTCTTGATTGATCGAATATTGACTAACCATTTCAGCAGTACAAACAAAAAATAAATAAGTGGCATAATAGGAGCTAACAATAAACACAATGAACCTAATAGCAGTAGCAGTTTATACAGTGAAATTAAACCCACATTTGTGGGGTTCTTGCAGAAATACCTGCTTAAAGTGACAAAAAGAGAGACGAGGGAGCAAAAAAATGCATTATTGGGATAAGAATGCATACAGATGGTGAGGGAGAAGAGGAGAGAGGAGCTCAGTGCATCATGGGAAGTCCCCCGGCAGTCTAGGCCTATAGCAGCATAACTAAGGGATGGTTCAGGACTACCTGAGCCAGCCCTAACTATAAGCTTTATCAAAGAGGAAAGTCTTAAGCCTACTCTTAAATGTGGAGATGGTGTCTGCCTCCTGAACCCAAACTGGAACCTGGTTCCACAGGAGAGGAGCTTGATAGCTGAACGCTCTGGCTCCTAGTCTACTTTTGGAGACCACAAGTAACCCTGCATTCTGGGAGCACAGTGCTCTGGTTGGGTAATAAGTAGTGCTGCACGATTAATGTAATGCCCTGAACATCTGTTTAAAAAATTAAAAATGACACAGGAAGTGCAAAATGGCTAACTTCCTGTTGAGCAAAATCTCATAAAAAAAACAGACATGTGTTCTTTATCATGAGAGCAATAAACCCACCAAATCTCAAGAAGATCGAAGCAACTTTGTCTAAAACATAGCGTTTGTTAACATAAGCGTATGTTTAAAACATAGTGGGGCTCGCCACCGGAGCACCAAGAGAAATGCCGGTGGGCCAGTCTCTCTTGTCAGAAACAGAGGGGCGTCGTAGGCAGTTAGACAGTTCAAATATTTTACATTTTCAACTTTTCATAAAGCTGATGTGCTTCTCAGTTACTTTTCGTCAACTGACCAATCACAGCCCGGATGGGGTGGGACATTAAAAAAAGTTTGACGTGCTATAGCAAACTTTCAAATGTTCAACAAAATGATTATTGACAAGTTAGTATGTAGTATTAACAGTAGCATCCTGTTTCTGCTTTGTATGCCATATAAGATCCAATCAGAGAGCCAAACCTGAGCGTCTGCGTCATTGTTTCTAAAGTCCTCCGTTTTTTGCCGTTTGCACTAAAACGCCACCCGGAGTTTTAAAAAGTGGGCTTTTTAAGAAGAGGTTTAATTACATGTACAATAAAGGACTGTGGTACATAGCCTGTTAATAAAGACAGATTTATAGTTTCTCGTAAAGAAGAGCTAACTAACAGTCAACTAGGCTTCTTTATGCAGCTTAGTTAGGATAGGGTCTAAGAAACAGGATGATGGCTCAGATAGTGAAATGAAAAGAAATTCTTGGTGGAACTTTTTTTTTGTGATATTTGTTTTAATTTACCGGTTTGGGGGTTATAGTTTATCTGTCAGGAAAATTAAGATTTAATTAACTGCATATGTTTTTATACCATATCTTTGGTCTTAGAGAGGATATCAAGTCATTCAAGTCAAAAGGCTACAGTCCAAGTGAAGTCACAATTTAGAAGCATTAAAGTCAAGTCTAAAGTAATCAGACTCGAGTTTGACTGTAGTCCAAGTCATCGGGCCAGAGTGCACACCACTGTGTTCATGACCCAGGTGAATACTGTAAATGGGTTTACATGGCTTTGCTGCACCCTCAACATGTTTTTCATCATATTCCCCTCTTGTTGGCTAGGCTCCACGTGTGTTGACAGTGATGTTAACTCACTCTGACTGCAGCCTGCTACCTCTGGTTGAGGACATTGTTCAGGATGTGCTGATGGCTCTGGATCTCAGCTATGACAACACAGCTGCTCTTTTCTGTTCTGTGCTGCACACACTCATGGCAGCGCTGGGTGAGATTCAGAACTAATTTCAACTCCTTTTATACGGTCAGGGTGAAAAAGGATAAGGGACAAAATTAATATATTGCTTATCTACTACACTTTGTCTTAGCATTTAGTTCACTTATATTCAAAACATTTAATGATGGATTGTTGATTTTAGTAGGGGGGTTTAGTATCACACGATGTTTTAAAGAATAGAAATATAATATTCACTATTTATTTAGTGGAAATACAAACCAGTTATTCATTTTTGGCATTAAAAGGCCATGAATATTCATACAAAATTTTAAAAATGACTGGCCCCTGCACAATCCTTAACTAGTCAAATTCTAATTACTGTAGAGAAAAGAGTTTAGTCTTGCATTTTACCAGAGATAGAAAAATTTAAATTACATGACCACTAAATATTTTGAATCAGATGATCAGATTCTGCAGCTCTGTGGAGCTTTTAGGTACGTGTGCTAGATAATTCAAAGTAATAATATCAATAGAAAATGGCAAAAAGGTGTACCAGTATTTGATTGACAAGTGATCTCTGTGAACTAACTAACAAATAACATCAAGGATGGAGACAAAACAAAGAATATCTATCCTAACCTGTTCTTTTTGTTATTTTTCCTATAGCGAGGTGGTTTCCCTCCAGTTGTGGTAGGGTCGGTGAGTCTGCCAGACCTAAGCAGACCTCCACTCACAAGGAAGTCCTCAACATCCGCCAATTCTTGCTGGACTACCGCAAACAGAAAGAGCTGGCAGAGGGCATTGGAATAGAGGAGGACGACACTAAGGGCCTCGGTAAAACCGCATTGTGTCTTTATGAGGACTACCAGGAAATTATATTTCATTTTAGCATAGGTTTCACGTTTGTTGTAGTGGTTATATTAGATTACAATTATCAGTGGGGAAACTGGGATATGATATTAAAGAAAATACAGTATCAATAACAATAAAGTGTGAAATATAAGAACCAGAGTCAATATTGGGTGCTTGCCAAGACTGTCAATCATACATCATCTGTCTGACCATCACTGTCTCTCTAGAAGTCCCTCCTCCCATCGAGTGTGAGGATGTTAAAGATATTGGTGGTCCTGATGTAAAAGCAGAGCTTCCCTCCCACCTCCGCATCACCAAAGAAGTTATGGAGCGCTGCATTCATCTGCTGTCCAACCCTAGTCTCCGGGTCCGACTCAAGGTATTGCCTGTGGTGTGATGTACTGTGAAGGGGAGCATTGGTTTTTATGATACAAA